CTGGAGATCTTTGTGCTGTTCAGAAAAGGTTATTCATTGCTGCTTGAATATTCTGCTTTTTGACAAGAGAAATTAAAGTTAACAACAGAATGATGAAGTCAATCTAGTGATTTTAATAAGAAATACTGAGTAGTGATTGCTAACACCTTCTCTTTTGAGAGCTTGTTCTCAGTGTGTGGAYGTTGTKGCTGATGTTTTAATACCACTTGGCYAAATGTTCAGCATGGAACTTTTCTGGCTAAGTATCTACCTAGAATTACACTGATTTTTGTAAAGCTATGCTGTAGCTTATTTGATTTTGTTGCATAGAATTGGGCAGAGAGACCTTCATAACTATTTGATGCCTCAGTGTTTGCAATGGAGACTTTGCAAACAAAGAAAATATTTGTACATACTACTGTGTTTCAGAATGACAGTTCTGGGTGCGCACAACGGGGCGCAATTTTGATACCATGGAAACAGCTGCAGTATTTTTCTTATATCCAACTTGGAAAGTATCAGGGCAAAACATGCGCCTGATTTTAGAAGAATACTTGAAGAAGTTCCATGCTCATGACAGCGTGGAACATGACAAGGCAAATTTTTGMTTTGGCTTTTGCTCTGGGATGAATTCTGCAAGACTGATAGACAGGGTGGCCCCTTACCCCCACCCCTAGGAAATSAGATTATCATGGAATTAGAGATTACTGTCTCTAATAGATATAGATAAAAGATACATGGTCACAACTCATGGCAGTTAGTCTTATCTAGGAAGTTTAATATCATRGTGATATTTCACAGTACATGATGCTTATTCTGATACTGATGCAACAGAAAGATTGGTATTCCCCATTGTTAGTGTCAGTAGAAATTATAAAGACTATTATTAGTGTCAGTAGAAATGGATCTTATTCAAAGATTTGAGTCAAATGTGTTTTACAAAAGTWMTTATGCACAGTAATACAATATTGCKAATAAAGAATTAACCTCTCCTTGACGTTATTTAGTTAAAAYGTGAGAGATGAGGGCAAGTTAAGTATACACTGGGTGTAAAACTTATGAATTGACATGACCTTGTTTGGAAGGAGGAAGTAAAGCRCATGAGGAAATAGTGCTATACATGTGGAAGTTAAAAAGCAGGTAAGGAGAGACAAAACACTTAGGTAAGGTCCTGCAAATGACCTTCTGTAGTTGACTGACACACAGTAGTATGTACAGAACCTGAGGCAGAAAGGTTGGGTGCAGCATGTGCATTGTACACTGGCTCTGGATGGGATAGTGAAATGCACAGACACCTGAACTGGAAGATGAGCATGGARGAATGTGTTGTTCCTAGAAAACAGACATTAAATCAGCCTGGTAGGGAAGCACTGTTACTATTATGATCAGCAAAAGAAATAGATCTGGTATTGATAAAATACGTTCCTTTTTAATGAAACTTTCTGGTAGAAGATATAGTAGAACGGTAGTACAGAGGAGTACAATTTGAAGCTGCTTCCTAAATTAAAGAATGAATTATTCTGAAATTTAATTTAAACACTGTAAGAATCGTTATATGAAGTTACATTGAATTGAATGGTCAGAAATTGGTTCTGCCTTTGTAAGTGTTGGTCTAGAGCTCATTTGCTTTTGAAAYTGGAGTTTTTGTAAACTGAGGAAAAAATCCTTGACAGGATGCTCAAATGCTGTGTTCTGGTTTTGGCTGGGTTGGAGTTAATTTTCTTCCTAGTAGCTGATACTAGACTGTTTTGGGTTTGTTCTGAAAACTGTTGATAATGCAGAGGGATGTTCATTACTGCTGAGCAGCACTCACACGGAGCCAAGGCCTTTTCTGCTCCTTGCCCCACCCACCAGTGGGGGGGCCTGGTGGTGCACAGGAAGTTGGGAAGGGACACAGCCAGGACAGCTGACCCCAGCTGACCAGAGGGACATTCCATACCATGCAGCATCATGCTTAGCAGTAAAACTGGGGGGAAAAGGAGGAAGGCAGTGGTGTTCAAAGTGATGGTGTTTGTCTGCTGTAGTAACTGTTTTGTGTGATGGAACTCAGATTTTCTGACRTGGCAGAACACCTTCCATTTTTGTGGACATTACTGCAGCACCTCAGTGTTTTKTGAGGAGCCCAGAACTGGACAAAGGATTCTTGGTCTCAGCAGTGCTGAGTACATGAGGACAATCTCTGCCCTGGTCCTGCTGGCCACACTATTGCTGAGATAGGCCAGGATTCCACTGGCCTTCTTGACTGTGTGGGCACACACACTGGCTCATGTTCAGCTGCTGTGGACCAGCACCCCYAGGTCCTTTTCCACTGGGCAGCTTTCCAGCCATTCTTTCCCAAGTCTGTTGTGTAGCCTGGAGTTGTTGTAAGGTCAGGGCCTGGCACTTGGTCTCATCCTTCATATGATTGGCTTTGGCCCATCGATCCGTCCTGTCAAAGTCCTTGTTTTGCTTTGCTTGTATGCATGGCTTTTGCCTTCCCTATTAAGCAGTCTATCTCAACCCACAAGCTTCCTCACTTACGCTCTTCCACTTCTCTCCCTGCTTCCAGAATGGGGGAATGARCAAGTGGCTGCATGGGACTGAGTTGCCTGCTGGGGTTAAACCATGCACACTGGAACAGGTTGTCTAGAACAGCYTTGCAGTCTCCATTCTTGGAGCTGATCAGAACCTGACTGGACAAGGCCTGAGAAGTCTAGCTTTGAAATAAGCCACGTTTTGAGCCCTGGGTGAGAACAGACGCCCTTCAAATCTTGGTTTAACCCTAAATTATTCTGTGAGTTTTAAGTTGCTCCGAGTTAATAAAGCAAATTGGACTGTCTTTTCCTGTGAAGAGAGCTGGAATTCCTTGGAATCAAAAATACTAATAAGGGATATTAGAACTTATTTGCAAAGAAAAGTGGCTAGGTCAATGTGTTAGCTTCTCTCTCCGCAGTCCTGCAGTATCTGTTGGGTGTATTCTTAACTCACAGACCATACAGATTTATTTGTATAAATTCACCTTTTTCCCCCGTGGTGTTGAGGGATGTGGTGAAGAACATGCATGTTATTTGTTAACATAACTCAGCTGACATATTGTATTGCATTGTTGCTCTAATAACTCGATGATGTGCCTAAATCTTTTGGAGCCTTATTTATTGAGACTGAGATCAAATACTTGATCTGGTGCAGTGTGTAAATTATTACTTCAGGCAGAGATCAGTAAAAGAATTGTAGAGATGGAGCTGGTAAGAGGTGATTAACAGAATTAGAAGAATGATTATCAAGTAGGAGTAATGGCAGTGGACTTCACTAGGGATTGGTTGTGACAGTGTTAATATTAGTGTGGTGTTTTATGCTATTTGATGTGAGGAAAATAGAGTCAGCAGGTAACTACAAGAAGCTGGTCTGAGGAAGCTAGACTGCTGGAAAGAAAGTGTCTGGAGCAGAGTGGGCGGCACAGCTGAAACTTCGTATGAAATGACGCATGAGGTTCTTACCATCTGTAGTCAAAGAAAAACAGATAATACTAAGAWAGGTGCGCAGATGAAGGAAGAGTGCAATAGGGAGTTTGGCAAAATAATCTAGGAGGAGCTAAGGTCATCTCAGCAAATGTGATGAGACTTTAATCACCAAACAAGGATAAGGACTCTAGTAACTTAATTGAAGAGTTGGCACAAGGATATTTATATTATGTAAATTAATTACATGAAAATGTCTGCTGATCTTAAAGGTTTTCAGTAAGACCATGGAGAGAAGAATGTCACAAACTTAGAGGARATGTCACCATAAATTACATAATGTACCACAGCTTTCAGAAAGAAAGAAGCAGTCAATTCTAGAATTTCTTGCAGTCTTGTGAACTTGATCACTAGCTCTGTGTGATGTTGCAGAAGAGAGGAGAACAGGTTTACCAAAATAAATTTGGTCATAGAACTGTATAAGCTTTAGAAATCCAATTATTTGGTTGTTAATTCTATGCCATCATAAGGAATTTTGCTGCACAAAATTTCTAGTTGCACAAGAAATTAAATTGTCTGTACCATAATATTGTTGATAGTTTTGCTGGTAATGTTCATAATCTCTTCACAGTTTTAAATACTGAAAACTATAAAGTTTCTTTAATCACACATATTCTCAAAGAATGAAAATATTTTCTTTGATAAACTGACTACTTCTGTTACTTTGTAATGTGTCATGACATTGTATCTTATTTTGTAACAGTAACAAGCACTTTCCTGAAACTTGGAAAAGCCAAGCTWGGGATTCTGCACAAGCCGTCTGATCCCTTTCCCCTCACCTTGTTTCCCTRTGTATCTATAATTTATATGGGTTCTGGCACTCAGCGGATTTACTTTGTAAGCTCCTGTGTTTCTTAACATTTCTGCCATGCTGCAACATGACCCCAGCAKAAAACGCTCACATTGTTTTCTGCTAGATTAATGAGCTAAATCAGAATGCTGAATGGCCTGACAAGTAGCAGTATTAGCACCAGGGATGGAATAAGATGGCTTAGCCAGGATTGGTGTATGGGAGAAGGAAAGACTATGAGTGGGAGCAGTGTGAAGCAAGACTTACCTTGTAGGCAGTATTAGGCWGTTGATGTGTTCTACTGCAGTCAAGCAGTTTGCTCTCTGTTAACTCAGTCTAATGTGACTTTAGTAGATATAAATGACCAYCATCATTACCTCAGATGTCATGAATATTGTACACTTGTGTGCTGTTACGTAGATAATGAGGCCTAATTTTATAGACTGTCATTCACTTTTACCACCATAAGACAGTCTTCCTGAATTTTGTGATGGAGTCCAACTTCTCTTTTTAAGTATATAGAGAATTTTCCTGTAAACGTCAGGGAGAAAGAGGTTACAAGCAGTGATGAGAGGTACATCAGAGTGGTTTAGATCTTTTCATTTTGCTCTTAGGCTAATAAATTAAAAATAACATAAAACACTCTTGTAAGTACAAGTCACAACTGAATTAAAATTGGATAGACTGCAACTAGTCTTTTAAACAACCACAGACATATGATGGGAAGAAGGTGGAGAAGAGTCATGAAAGTCCATCAGTAGTAAAATTTWCACTGTTTCTGCTGTGAGAGTGGTTTGAGGGGTTTTTTTGTATGTTTGTGTTTTTTTTTTTTTTTAATTTCTTGAAGTAAGTGGGTTTTGCTGTAATTGAAATTACAAAGTCAGTTTGGTTTTTTTAAAATAAGTAAGTAAAAAAAGTACTGAACACAAGGGAGTTGTGGAAATGTCTTTTGCAAAATTAATAGTACGTAAATGTAGCTGTTATTGAACAACTGTGCAGAAAATGTACTAAAAAATCAGAATTATCACTGAATGCTCACTTGATATCATTGTTACAGATAATATTTTGCCTGCTTCACYTTATTTGTTTAAAAATCAAAATAACTATTCTAAGTTTCTAACCATAACTTACAGTTACACATCATAATAGGACAACGTCATGGAGAGTTACACATCAGTACAGGATGGTAACATTAGTTTCTGTTCAAGTAATTAAACCTAAGAAGCCATAACTTTTTATTTCTGCTGTTAATGTTTGCTGATTTTTAGTAACTCATCACATATTAGTGTCCTACCTGCACATTTTAGAGAGGCAGATTAGTCTCAGCATGTGCCTGGAAGATTGCCAAAGCTCTCATAGCAGTTTTCTTTCTCAGTGATTATCTGCAATTTTGATGCTTTGTGTTGCGTCAGTGGACTTCTGCTCAAGAAAGTGGGGCCAGCTCTTATAATTCTAACCATCTGTTGGAGAAGTCCCCTATCAGAAGTTTGTATCTAAGTAAATAAAGCATTTCTGAGTTAATTTCCTTTGAAGTCTTTAAAGTTTCATTGTTTGAACATAGTGTAATGAAAAAAATTGTGCAGTAATAAGCAGGTCAGTAATAAGCTCTCACAGAAAAGGAGCATTTTTCTTATTTTGACAGGTGTGCCACTTTGTTGAAGAGCTACTAAAGCTCTCTTAAAACTTGCCAGCCTGGAAAAGATAACAGTTTGAGACTACTGCATTATTTTGAATGAAAGACTTGTGTTCCACTGCTTACAGAAAACCAACACAAACACCCCCCCTTACAAAGTAAATCATCACCTGCATGGTACATCAGGAACTGTAGAGATGGGACATGGAGTAATGGGCACAAGTTGAAAGAAAGGAAATTTAGGTTAGCTATTAGGAGGAAAATCTTTACTCTGCGAGTGGCAAGGTGTTGGAACAGGTTGCCCAGGGAGGTTGTAGATGTCCCCACCCTGTTGACCTTGAGCAGCCTGGTCTAGTGGGAGGCGTCCCTGCCCRTGGTGTGGAGGTTTGGACTAGATCATCCCTAATGTTCCTTCCCATGCCTTAACATTCTGTGATTATGTCCTTTGTGGCCATCTGCAGAAATTTAAGAATGGTACAGCCTTTTTCATGGGGCTGGAAGATGCTTAATTAAAGCCATTAAATAAGAATGTGCACAGATAGAAAKCTGCTCCAGATCTATCTGTAGAACAGGCAAAGTATTAATCAAGTCTGGGATTTTGAAATGCATAGGTATTATCTTTGTACATTGGATTAATTTATTTATTGTCTTCTCCCAATACAGCCAGCAGCCAGCTTCGGGTGTAGCCTATTCCCATCCAACCACAGTTGCCAGCTACACTGTCCACCAGGCCCCGGTGGCAGCACACACGGTCACTGCAGCCTATGCCCCGGCCGCAGCCACGGTGGCAGTGGCCAGGCCTGCCCCAGTGGCCGTGGCAGCTGCTGCCACAGCTGCTGCCTATGGCGGGTATCCCACGGCACACACGGCTACAGACTACGGCTACACACAGCGGCAGCAAGAAGCTCCACCACCACCGCCTCCTGTCACCACTCAGAACTACCAGGTAGGTTCCTGCTCTGTGATTTTTAAGGGGAGGAAGCCTGTTTGGAAAAGAAAATAGGATTTTGTGAAACCACTGCTGTAAAGAAAAACACTATATTTGTGAGTGCTAGCTCAGATGTTGGGAGTGGTGTGCTGTAAACTGGGTYACGCATCTGATGTAGCTGAAAAGACTGTTCCAGTAAAAAATTTCAATAGAGGTAGAAATAGTTCCTTTGTCAGATTCCTGGACGCCACCAGAGTCTAGTGCCAAGACTATGAGGACAGAAGATTGCCCTAGGAGATAAACTACCCTGTAGGTAGTTTTTGGATATTCTCTTCTGAGATCCCTGCCAAATCTTCTGCAGATGCAGGCTTTTGCAAAAGGGAGCTCTGTGTCCCCTGGAATACTATGTTTCTTATAATGTTTTTTTAAGCTTTTTGATCTTAAACGTATCAAGGCATTATCTAGATTCTAATTAGCGTTTTGTTTTTTTTAAAAGGATTATATTATGCCTGTATGTTCTCAATTCTTTTGCGTATGTTCTGTAATTTGTTTTGTGTTACAATTATAGATACATTATCAATAGATACATTAGGACAAAAGATACATTTGGACAAAAAAGAGAGTCCACTAAATTAAATRAGATAATTCCTGTTTACACAGGTTGGATGAAAAGAGATTTTGTTGTTATATTTCTTGGAATTGAAAAGAATTTTAATTCATTAGTCTATTTCAGCTGTGGTGGTTCATGCCTTGCTCCCCCTCAGTTGATCAACTTTTTGTATTTACCATAAACATGGTGAAGATGCAAGAACATATGCACATGCATATAGTGGCTTCCAGGTCATGCCCTTMTAAGCACATTGGAGGTCTACTGAGTTTTAAAAGTTCAAATGAGCTGSTTGCCTTGCCTTTATAGGCTAGTTATGGTTCCCTAATAAACTAGTCAATACACCAAAAGGTAAAGARGGCTTTAGAAGTACCATGTTCATACTCTAAAAAATATAATCAAGAAAGACGTTGTTGATGATGAGACTTTGAAAGCCAGTATAGGCTCATGTTTCTAACCTTGAGAATTTATTGGACCTTATAGAAATTCATGTTTTGTAGAGATCTGTGGTGGGTTTTTCCTTTATATTTTACAGAAATAGAATCTGATACAGTCATTAAAAGCTATTGACAGTCGATGCTCTTCAAAAATAATTTAGTAGAGAAAGYGATTAATAGCATGCAGATAGTTCCTTTATTGAGTCTGTAAGAGACCATTAGGGTTRTTTCAGGCCTGAAGTTACCTGTAAAAGTAAATTTAATTCCTCTAATGCATTTRTTTGTATAGACTGTACATGTAGATGGGGCCTTCTTATTCTACTTGAGTCAGCCAGAAGAGAGGATGTCATTAATACAGCTCTGGTGATGACTTTCATTACTCTAGCTATATACCTACAGATGGTTTCTCTGTTTTTACTCCTTAGGATTCTTACTCTTACGTTCGATCTACCGCCCCAGCTGTAGCTTACGACAGCAAACAATATTATCAACAGCCAACTGCAACGGCGGCAGCCGTGGCTGCTGCTGCCCAGCCGCAACCGTCGGTGGCTGAGTCCTACTACCAGACAGGTGGGTGGCATGATTCAAGCTGCTCTTGTTATTCACAGTCTGTTGACTACTTTAAGCCTTAAAAATAGTTGTTTGACTATTTCACATTATCCTTTTTTTTTCAAGTTTTGCCATGTTATCTCTGTTACTGTGTAGAAAGTGTGCCTAGTACTTCAACACTGTTATGGCATTGCCATAAGTAGCTGCCTCTGAGGTTTGGACTGCCACTAAATACACTCAAAACRCTGCTAGGCAAAGTGCCTACTGATTTTTTTAGAAACCTTGCTGAAGTAGGTTGAGGTAGTCATTGTTGGCTTCAGATGATAAATTGGTTAGAAGTACTCTTAATTCCCTAGTTACTTCATGTATATAATTCTTTAATTATTCATATCACGATTGTTACAAAGCATGAATCCTACTTAGGTTTTTTTTACTTCACTTAGAAATAAGAGAAAAGTATAGATGTGGTTTGGTTTAGACTCCTCTAGTAAAACTGTTGGATAAGAAGATTGTTCAAAACCTATCCA